TGTTATCGGCGCCGAAAGTAATGATAAATCGCACTGTGTAAATAAATATTTATAATGTTCCCAGAAAGTTTTACACTTCAACAAACATTCGCGACCTCCCCCCCCCCGTGCTGATCCGAAGCTTTCAAATTTCAGGACGAGAAGAACCAGATCCTTCAGACTAATGTGTGGCTCACCATGAAGTGGAACGACTTCCAACTGCGATGGCAGCCAGAGGATTACGGTAGGTGAAGGTTTTTCGCTCTATCTGCCCTATGCTTTTGGGTCCAGTTGTTTCTGAAAGAGTCAAAAGCAGATGGGACAAATCCCATCTGTTTTGACTCTTTCAGGCTCTCACGAAGGTGAACAGGCTCAAACGGCCCAATAAACGTTAACAATCTTGCTCGGCTCAACTACACTACTAATTTGACATCACAACCATGCCAAAATTAGGGGAAAGTTGGTCCTGGCCAATTGTTTCTGATGAGATCTTTGGGGGCTAACACGCTGCTCTGTGCTTTGATCATCTCGCGCAGCTCATTCTTATGATAGACTACACATCCAAAGGTACACTGCACATGAAGTATGTGGGTTGAGTTAAGCCTGTTTTTTCGCCTTCCTCATTGGGGCGCCTTTCTTCAGGGACAGTAACCGCGGGAAGGGGAGTTGAGTAAAGGCGTGATGGTGGGCTTGAATGTGCTGATTGAGCAAAGGTTTGATAACCACTCGGGTGGCCTCATAGCTAAATCGAAGGGTTCGTACAGCCTAGATCGAGCTACCTGTTCAGTAGCTGAACTTAATGAAAGCTACTTGCAATATCTCAGACACCTTAGCCCATTGTTTCGAAGAATTTATTTTTCCTTATATTACCTGCATTCTTTTTTGCTTTATTACCACCATTTATACATTATTCCTTTTGCTCTGCTCTTATTGTGCTGTTATATTATTACTGATTTAGTTGCCAAGTAAGAAGAATTCATTGACGACAAATGCACTACTGGAAAAAATCCTCCATCATAAGAGCTTTTTCTAGCGAAAAAGAAGGCGGAGATCGATTGCTTTGTTTCGCGATGGTCCTGTGGGACTTATCCAACGTTCAGCATTGAGGTTGCTTCTGAGAAAAGAAAATGTAGAAATCCTTAGCGTAACTTAATCCTCTTCGGTCCCGACAGGAAGTCGAGTACATGGCGCATCAATGCAAAAAAGGGATATGCGTCGTCAGCGAGTCCTTCAACCGCCATTCATTTTAATTCGATAGAATAGCCAAGCGAAATGTCCCAACTGTGTTTAGGAAATTCTTCGTGCAGATATTTATTTGTTTATTTATTTGCTTATTTATCTATTTATTTACTCATTTATGTGGTAATTTATGCCAAGCACTTGCACTATATGGCTAAGCGAAGTGCCAAGCGCGTCCTATTGCTAGAACAATTTTATTGCCAAGCGCCCACGACTGTAAACTTTATGTTGTCCGCTGATAACCAAAAAAGTAAAAAATCAAATGAGAAAATCAAATATATTCGGGTCAGCATCCACTCAAACAGAAAAATGATCAGTGAAAAACCTCAGAAAGATCGGAACTTCAGGCAACATCACCAATCTTCATGTTCCTCCCGATCGTGTCTGGCTGCCGGATATTGTGTTATTCAACAAGTAAGTATATCTTTAGTTTGCTAGGCCAAACTCATTCCGTAGTTGAATTGGTTGTTTTAGCCGCCTCTCAATAAATCCTCTCTTGTCCTCCTCTTCTGCGGCGGCATCTCAAATCAACAATTCCAGAGAGACATGCCAGTTTTGCATGTGCAAATTGACGACTTTCCGTGGGGAACAATCAGGCGGCAGCGAAATCTCATAAAGCATGGTTGTCGATGGATGGCCGCCGAAGAGATGGCCGAACTGCTTCCGGAGAGTCGTAGGGATGGGTAGAAGGTGAACCTCAAGGCCTCTGGCTAGACGACTCTGACCTAGAGGAACAAAATTATCGATGCCCGTTTGCTTACACTTTTTTTCAAATATCACTACATACTAGAGCACAAGAAAGTTTATGAGGTTCTAAAAACTTACGAAGGTGAGGGAGCGTGAAAGTAATCAAGGATCTGATGAAGCGCTGAAGGGTAGGCTAGAACGTCGGCTTTCAGGCAAAATTTCGTCCTCCAGAAACGTTCCGCGTAGAGTGCATGTGGTCACACGGTTGAACGTGCTAATTGCTTTCCAAACTAGGGGGGGGGGGAGGGGGAGATTTTTAGCATCGCCGCTTGGGGGGGCATTTTTAAGTTTACCATCGATCACAGCCGATGACTCCTGAGAATTCCTGTAAATTTCTGTAAATCTGTGCCATCTTGGGAGCATCGTTTACACTTGACAAGCTCCCCAAGGCTTCAAACGTAATTTTACAGAAAGTAGCAAAAGGAACTAGCAGAAGTGCCAGTTCAAGCTAAATAGCGCCGATTTTGAAGGTTCAAGAGCTACTAGCAGTCCCAGTTCCAACTCTTTCTGCATGTCAGTACGCCTTTATCATACTCTCGAACTCTCTTGGGAATGGCGCGTGTCAGTTCGAGGCTCATCGGAACTATCCCCGCCAGAAAAATGCACGTATTTCAACCCTGAGACGAGATCCACTTGTGGTGCCGCCGAGCCGTTCGCTGAATGAACTCCTTGATCTTCAGTTCATTTCATGTAAACAGATGGCGTGTTTTCCGTTAATTAGCGGGTTTACGGCCATCTGGAACGCTGAATTGAGAAGCTAGCGTAAAGTTCTGCCAGCCGTTAACCCCTGTGATCTGTGGGGAGGTTTGCTGTGGAAAGGAGCGCTTGGCGCTGTTTGTC